GCCATTCAGAGCTCTGCAAGGATCCAAATTTGTAGCTGGTCGTAAAAACAAACAAACAAACAAACAACTCAAGGATGGCTTCCGTTTACCACGAGAGTGGTGAGACTAAGGGGAACCAAGAATGCATACCACAAGGACTGACTGGGCCCAAAGAAGGAAGGAAAATGAATTGGATGTCCACTTTATATACGGTGTTTCTTAGCTATCACAACAGTCCTGGGAGGGAAGAATGATCGTTTGTTTTTATAGATGAGGAAACTTGAGTCTTACTGAGGTTAGGTGGCTGCTAGGAAATAGGAAATTTCCGTATTTGCCGGGCTGCAAACACCACATTCTTTCCCTTGGCACCACTTTGAGTGCAGCATGTAAAGCCCTGTCCAGTGCGCCTTGGAGGAGGGTGAAGTGAAATGGCTTTGAAATCAAACAGCTTCCAGGCTGGACTTATCCTTGTGCAAGTACAAACAGGGAGCTGCCAGAGGAAAAGGCAAGGAGGTAAACGTCTGTATGTTTCTCCTGGAAGCGCTGGGAGGATGTTATGGGCCATAAAGCATTTATGCCTTTGCAATTGCAGCGTTCATGACGGCAAGAAATAGATAACTCTTCCTGTTTATAAATGTAGTAGAGAGTGAGCACAGAACATGGGAGAAAGGCTAAATGGGTCATTAGTTAAAATACACTCAAGGGATTTTTCTGGGGAAAATGCCAATAAGAGACTCTCAAAGACTAGACCGCTTCAGGCTCATCCATTATGTAATCAGCTAATGTTTATGAGGCTTCTGATATGTGCCAGTCTGTACTTGCTCTAAAGGTTCAGATCCCAGACCTTCCATATGCTCTTTCCCTTTGGCATACAAAAACTATAAAAAGTGATCGCCTCTTCTGAGAGTGGCTGGAGTATTAGGCAAGGAGCGCACACAGACAGCAGTAGGACCTGGCACCAGTGTGCACTCAACTAGACAGCCGTCTCCTCCTCCTTTCCATCCTTCTTCTTCCTTGTTCAAAATATTAGAGTATTCCCCAAATGCCTATAGTAATAGGTCACAGTTAGTTTGAGCCGGGGATTACCATTCAACATGCCTTCCATCTCCTACCAAAAAAAAAAAAAAAAAAATCAAGAAGGGAAAAAGAAAGAAAATCAAATGAGAGTGAAAATTCCCTGACCTGTAAGAACTAAGGGGTGAAAAGCACCAGCTTACTTTGCTTGGGCTAATAAGTACCAGGGTAATTTTTCTGGCTCTAATCCTGGCCAACTTTCACAACTTTCAACAAACATTTCTAGAGCCATGACTATGCTCCAAGCAAAGCCCAGTGAAAACCTTGAGAGGCCCCAATACTAAAAGATTATGGCCACCCACCTCTACATAATTAAATGGCTTAAATTTAAACAAAACCTCAAAACTTTGCATGTATTCTAAAATGAAAAGGTCTCCTTCCCAATGTTTTGAATTGCAAAACTCTGGCTAAGGTCCGTGAATTTGAGTCTTACTCCATCCTCTGCTCTCTCTTGTCTGCCTTTCTGATGCCTGAGGATCAGCATATTTTGCAGATTGGATAATCCAGCAGGCACGCCAGGCACTGTACAAGGCACTAGGAATGCAGTGGTGAGCAAGACAGGCAGACCAGGCTCTTGCTTGCATGCATCTTGAATTCTACTAGAGAGAGAAAAGCAGTAAGCCCACAAATAAATAACGACACTTGAGGAAGTGACAAATGCTCAGAAGGAGAAATAAAATTGGATCCTGGTTCCACAGTGGACTGAGCAGGCATTTAAAAGGGAATAAATCACATTCCTCTGGAGTGCTCTTGGACCCATGTCTATAAAGACTGGGAAGCTAATAGTGCAGTGACTAGCATTCCTTGGGAGCCTTTATCTCCTTGGTGCCCCAGAAAGACCAGAAGTGATGGAGATGCGTCAGGGTTGGAAGACAGTAAGCCAATTATTGGCCTGACATTTTTTAATAAGCAGCCATCTTAAAAGCAGGCATTGAGCCAGCTCACATGCATAAAACTTTCCCCAATTAACCCACTATTTCATCCTCTCAAATCTCCTCTTCATTCATTCCTGCTTCCTGTCACAATAATCTTCCTCCCATGACAGACAGAGTCATTACTAAGAGAAACTGCAATGGAAGTCTTTAGATGTTGTTCTTGGAAAGCGAACCCCAGCTGATGTTCTTCCTGGGGACTCTTGGAATGTTGTGTTCTTCAAACCTGCCAACCGGCACCATCACAGCCTCCAGGTATTTAGTGACGTTCTGGGCCACTAAAGCCCGTACATGCCCATCCGTATATGAAAATAAAGTATGTGCCCAAGTTATACAGATCCAGCAGAGCAAAGGGAAGTGTGTTCACATCCCAAATACTTGCTAGTGACAATGGAACTTGGAGCCAAAAGAAATGCTCCAATCTCTTAGCTGAGTGTCTGCTTAGATAAAAAGAATCAGGATGGTCAAGATTTCTCAGCAGAGTACTAAATGAAGTAGAACATGGCCAAGTGTGGCAGGCATCATTTCCTACGCAAGCAGCAGCAGCCAAGCTCTCCCCATTCTCCGTGGGAACTCCCCTTCCGTTCTGTGCCTTGCCAAATGACCAAGTCCTTTATCAGCTCTGTCAGCAGTGAGTAAGGAGACAGGCCACAGGATAAGCTCATTTCCAGGCTGCCTCTCCACCTCCCAAACCCATCAGAGTTATTGATGCTGGACAAGCAGTCAGGTTGATTGGGTTTAGGTTTTCAAAGCCATTTTACTCACGAACCTATGCTAAAAGTTTATAATGTACTCATTTGGCAGCAGAAATCCTTGCAGTTTCCCAACTGCTCCCATGCTCCGTTGGGCCTCCTTACTCTTGCACAAGCTTTTGACCTTGTCTGGAATGGTCATTATCTCTTATCAGCTGGCTAATACTTGTGGGAACTTGTAAGACTCAGTTCAGGGGTAATTCTCCCTGATTCCCCCACTTCTGGGCCAGGTTCCTGTTTTCTGGACTCTCTGTTTTCCCCACTGTCACAGTGCATGGAACTGTGTGCTGGCAGGTATCCATCGCCCTCAGCAGATGAGAAGCTTGCCCAGAAGGTGTAAGGAGCAAAGGCTGAGGGCTTAGTATTCTGGAGTCAATTGGCCTGGGTTAAAATCCTACTCCTCTACTTTACAGGTGTAAGACATTGGGCAAGTTTCTTAAGGTATCTAAACCCCATTTTCAACATGAGGATATAAACTTGGGGAGTCCCTGTGAGACTAAAGGAGATAATGCATGTGACGGGCTTAGGACAGCAGTGTCACTACTCATCCAATAAACAGTAGCAACACTTACTGCCTTTTTCAGCTCCCCTGAAATATTCACTGGTTCTTATGGCTGGAACACAGAGAACTTGGAGAGGAATAAATAGTGGGTAACAAGCCTGGGGTGATAATTGCCAGATAAGTATTTGGGGCTGTGTCTTAAAGGCCATGGGGAGCCACTGAAGGTTTACGAACAGAGTTGTGTCTCAATAAAGTGATGCTTTAGGAAAAGCCCTTTGAAGGCAGACTAAGAGACAGATTCAAGAAAAGGAGAAAGCAGATGCAGGAAGACCTGTTAAGAGGCCACCGGAAGAATTCAGAAGAGCAGCATGCTAAGGCCTGGAGTGGAGGCATTCGTGAGAAAAACTACAAAGTAGAAATGACAGGTTGGGTTTTTGGAAGAAGAAAGACACAACTTTCAGGTCTGGTAACTGAGCAGAAGCAGTAGTGGTGCCATTAATGAATTAGGAAGTGGAGAAAAGGGAGCTGGAGATACAATAAAGTCAGTTAGTCATTCAAAGACAAGATTTCTGCCTTCAAAGGGCTTCCAGTAGAGGTTAGGTAACATGGCTTGGAAGTAAAAAGAGCCTGGTGGTCTGTGCCCTGGCAAGATCTCTGTTATCACTGCACACAGACCCAGACTCAACAATGACACAGCTACACATGCGTGTGTAGAGAATCCATGCACACAACACCACACAACAGACACAGATACACAGATGCAAAAACACAGTGACTCACACTCTCTCCCACCGGTGACACTGTCTTCTCTCATACTCACACAGACACACAACTCATTCACACGTACACACACACACACACATGAATTTTAAGATGTAAAACTGATCAAGTGTTCATGATGACATGAGGGTCACTGTTCGTGGAGACCATGTAGATACAAGAACCAAAACAGAAGACTCTGGGTTGAGCCAAAATCATATCAGAGAAGGTTTTGGGGAAACACTGGAAAAATGCAGGATGGTGATTTTATTCCTAAACTAAGAGTTAAGTTTTGCTCCTGAGTTCCATGCAAATCTGGGAGTTATCTATGGCTAGGGATGTTATTATTCTCATTTTACAAATGAAGACACCAAAGCCCAGAGAGAAATTGTCTCGCTGAAAATCATATTGTTAATTAATAGTGAAATCAGGATTCAAGTTCAGGTCTGTCTGCCCCCAAAGCAGCTACTCTTTAACAACCAACAAGGCATCCGAAATGGCTCACAAACTAGAATTGCACAGATGAAAAAGTCTTCATCTATTGCATGGAAACAAGGCAGAATTGTGGGGGCTGATGAGAAAGATGATGTAGTCATCATTTCTTTTTCTGTATCATTTTTTACAATAGTTCCAATTTTTAAATTGTGGTGAAGAAAAGAAAATAAAACAAATGTTATTATTTGTTCAAATAATAGAAGTGATGACAAGATGTTGGCGTGCCCTAGAATGGAATAGGGAAGAAAGCGCTAAGGACAGAACTTTGAAGTCACACTTCAGAGACGAGTGTAAGATAGAGAAAGATCACGGAGGTGCTGGAGGAGGAAACGAGAGAGCTCGGGTGAAAGATTCCCACCAACCAAATATTCTCATTCCATTTCCCTTATCTCTGAGTACCCAGGCTGGGTAGCAGCATCTTAATCATGCCTATATTATGGGCAGCAGTGTGGGTGTGGGGTCAAAAGGACCACAGATGATCTGAATCGTATCTTTCCTTCCCCATAGACTCCAAAAGGACAGGAGGTTGGACCTTCACATCAGCGAGTCTGTAAGTGTGTTTATATTTTATGCCTTTTCTTATGAGGAACAAGAACATTTCTCACTGTTCTGGGATATAAGAGGTTCAGAGTGGTGTAAACCCAGAGAAGTGAGGCACCTCCCCAGTCACTAGGAAGGCAAAATGCTGCCAAGGCCAAGTGCATGGCCTGTGGAGTTGACAGCCTTTGTACAAATAATTTCATCTTTCTCTCTCTCAGTTTACTCGCCTATAAAAATGGCTATAATAGTACCTACTTCCCAGGGTTAGTGTGAATTAAGTTAGTTAATTCCTACAACGGTATTAGAACAATACCTAGTAGGTCAAAAGTATGCTATGATGTTTCCTTTCTATTATCAATACCATCAACTTTATCACTGCAGTTAGAAGACACTTGTCCTATATAATCATCTCCAAGAACCAAAAGGAAATTTGGAGGCCTTCTGGAGAACTGGTAGGGAAGCAGAGGCCCAGAGAGGGAAAGAGATTTGCCAAGGTCATATAGCTACAGAGTAGTTCCCACTCAAGAACTGCCCTGTTAGGCCATCCAGATGGCTTGGTGGATATGGTTAAAGGAACCGTGAAGAAGGCAAAAGGCCAATTAGCTCCCACAGAAGCAAAAGAAGCAACAGAAGCAAAGGAAAGGCAAGGCAAGCTTTGCTGAACACTGATCATATGCCAGGAATTATTCTGAGCACTTATCGTTCATGGTAGGATTTGATGTGTCTATCTTAGAGATAAGAAAAGAGTCTCAGACAGATTGGATAACTGCCCAAAGATTCATTTGTGTTCAAGATTATTTCTCCTGAGGCTGCCCTGCCCCAGGGTGGGGGGTGGGGTGGGGTACCTGCAAAGAGTGGACCTGGACAAGCTGGAGGAGAGGAATGTTTCTCTCCAGTTGCAGGCACCGTGTAACTCTCCAAATGGTGTCTTTACTCCAGTCACCTTCTAACTCATACAAAGCATTTTCTCCTTTCCTTACAGATGCACCTCCTAGAGCTGGTGGAGATAAGCCAAGGGCACATCTGACAGGTAATTCTTCCTGGTGTGTTTTCCAGGAGACCATGGGCCATGGGCCTGAGTGTTTGCCAGAACTCATTCTTGTAGCTTCAAACTGGAAACCACATCTCTTGGTAACATCCTCCTCTCAGTCAGAGCTTTCAGATGTCTTCCTCCAGTGAAGGGTCCAAAGTTCCATGTCTCCTGGGCATTTTTCTTTCAGATTCTATTAGCTTTTTTCCTTTCTCTACTGTTTCTCTCCCTTTCATTAGCACACTCAGTCATTCAGAAATGGCTTTTTTCAGACTCGAAGATTCACGTAATTCTGAACATAGTCAAAGATGAAAGCTCCCCTAAGTTGCCAATTTATTGAGTCCATCTGTGTGCCCTATTCAAGATGCAGTTATTGGGCATTTACATTCAGGTAGGTATTTCTAACAATTTTGCATTGATGTAAAGAGATTAAGAGTAATCTCTTAATATCACCATTTGGCCAGATTCCCAAGTCTAGTGTCAAAATTCCTGGCACCTCACATCTGAAGCTGCCTATACCTCTAAGACTCCAGAGAAAAGAGCAAGACAGTGCAGAAATATGTGTTAAAAACCTACTGAAAAAACTAGAGAGTTAAAAAGCAAGCATATTCTTCTGACCTGTAAGAAAATTTGCAACCCACAGGTTATCTTGTTTGAAATCAACGGTTTGAATCAATGGTTTCTCTACACTAGACATACCTTGTAAGAGCATTCATTCATATGTTCTATATAATATATACTTACAAATAATGCAAACATAAGAACATATAAATATATCTAAGATGAAACAGGCTTATTTTTCAGTCTGTCAATATGAAAGATGTTAGTTTATTTGGGGAAAGAAAATAAATATGTGTTGAGTAACACTGTATCCAGCCATCATGGCAAAAATGTCCATGTCTCTTCCATTCATTTGATTTTCGGAACAAGACTATGAGGGAGCTTTATCTCCAGGTCACAGGCAGGAAACTGAGACTCAGAGAGAAGGAACCTACATGTTGTAGAGTCAGGATTGGAAATGGACCTGTATGGCCCAGAGCCCTGGTCCCTTTCACTCCACAAGTCAGTTATATTTTGGATTATATTTTGGTCCTGTTGGTGTGGGAGAAGCATTTGCAAAATGTTCTAGATATTTGATGCCCTTTTTTATTAATTACTGCCTGTGTTTCATGTGGCTTTGAGCCACAGCCAAAGGGAGTGGAATTGGGGAGTGACAGGGAACATCTGACTCTGTCTCCAAATGTCCTTTCTCTGCAGCAAGCATTTCTGAAATAAAAAGGCTAATAAAAGTGAACGTAGTTTAGAGGCTATTCCTAATACACACCATCTCGTTTAAGCCTTTCCACAGGTATTATTATGTCCTTTCACATTTTGTTGTTGCTCTTGTTCTTGTTTGTTTGTTTTCAAGGAAAGATATATCAAATAAAAAACACATTCTCATGTAGTAAAGAAATGCTTTATACAATAGGATTGTGGCAACATGAGGAGTTAGTGGAGGAAGGGACTATTGCAACTGGGAGAACTTCTGACCGTAAAGTCTGCAAGTGTCTCAACAGTTAGACTAAAAGGGTCTTGCCTTTACAGAGAGGCATATACAAAGCAAAAAAGAACCAGGTGTGGGGAAGTGGGATAAAAGTTTGGCATGATAGGCTCAGAGAATGTCTTACCCTGAGGCCAGCCTATTTTCAGGAGGGCGGCTCAGGGTTGAGGGTTAGGTTGAGGATGAGCCAAAATTCAGGGGCCTGGAGGAAGGAGAGAAGCTTGACCAAAGTTTAGTGAATAAGTATTTTGCTCAGTGGCTCAGTGGGGATAAGATAGTTCAATTAATTATTTATGAAGAAAAGAATGGGAATTTAGAGAATCTAGTGTCTAGTCTTGACACAAATAAACAAGAAGGTAGGGGCACCCACCAGCCTTATCTAAATCTTATCTAAGTCTTTAGGGAAGAGTGGTTCTTTGCAGTAAGCTGTTTTCCAAAACACAAAAGAGTAAGGAGATTTTTGTTTTGTTTTGTTTTGTTTAACCTTCACTGTTTTCCAGGATCACAGGGCTTAGGTAAAATTCAAAATTGTCAAACAAGAAAACTCAGGCTTAGGGAGGCAAAGTGATTTTCTTCAAGTCACCTGCCTAAGATGTTATCTCTGAACAGATGTGTATGTCCACTCACGTATCCTCTACTCATTCCTTCTCAAGGATCTTGTTAGCTGTTGGTTTTTAGTCAAGCATTTTACTCTTTGAGAACGATGTAAGACTCTTTTTAGCAAAGTCCACAAGTTCTGACACAAGCAAATGAAACTTCCCTCTTGTCTTTGCAGTTGTGAGACAAACTCCCACACAGCCCTTGAAAAATCAATTCCCAGCTCTGCACTGGGAACATGAACTTGGCTTGGCCTTCACCAAGAACCGGATGAACTATACCAACAAGTTCCTGGTGATCCCAGAGTCAGGAGACTACTTTGTTTACTCTCAGATCACATTCCGAGGGACCACATCCGAGTGTGGCGAAATCAGTCCACGGAGACGACTCAGCAAGCCAGACTCCATTATCGTGGTCATCACCAAGGTAACAGACAGCTACCCCGAGCCAACCCAGCTCCTAATGGGGACCAAGTCAGTGTGTGAAATAGGCAGCAACTGGTTCCAACCCATCTATCTAGGGGCCATGTTCTCCTTGCATGAAGGGGACAAGCTGACAGTGAATGTCAGTGACATCTCTTTGGTGGATTACACAAAAGAAGATAAAACCTTCTTTGGAGCTTTCTTGCTATAGGGGCAAGGCAGATGTCATTGTATGAAGGTCTTCTGCCTCTTAGTTCCTAATTTTCCTCATTCAGATGTAATTATAACCAGGAAGTTTTCTGGAGCATCCACAGAGACAGTGGATTAGCTACGAAATTTAGGGCCCCAACGTTCACACTTTATGTGCCTTACTGATGAGAATACTAATTGGAAAAAAAGGCAGAAGGCAGACATATTATCATGGCTGCTTAGAAGAGTGGTGAGTTTCTAAACATTAAAACACTGATCACCAAATGAATGGATGATCCACTTGGGACCTTTCCATGCCTTCCTAGTATGCGTTTGTCACCAGAGGGCCCAGGTACTGTACAATTGTATTATGAAGCATTTGCTTCAGTTCAGGACCCTGAAACAAAATCCAAGGCCTAGAAAACTGTAAATCCTTCAGAGGCGAAATCCTTCATCAGTTTCCCCAAACACATATTTCAGTGCTTTGCCTAGAAAAATGAAAAGAGAGCTGATGTTTCTTATGAACATTCTTAAGAAAAGAAATTGGTTTTCATGCCATCTATGTCAAGTGAGAAGAACTACCTTTCTCTTTATTATGTACACATGTATCAAAACAAGCAGGTATGAGTTCCACATGCAAATAAAAAATTCAACACTAGCATCAACTCAGCACGGTGTTCTTGAGAACCTTTTATGTCTGCTACCTTAACCCAGAAGACACGATGAAGAACAAGACAGACTCTGCACTCTACCCAAATTTATATGAATACCACTAGATAACTCTGATCAAACAGTACATGCAGATTGCTAAATGGATATTTTTCTCTAAAATATTCAAAGAGATTTAAATAAGGATTTGGCTAATTGGCCCAGCCAAGGCATCTTTGCTTGAGACGAGGCTGGACATTGAGAACCCTCCTGCGCTTCAATGAGTTCACATCCTCTAATCTGTATGATGTTCCTGAACTAATATGTCAAGGGTGGGAGGGGCATTACTGCTCTCTTAGCCTCTGTTGACTTGTCTGTAAAGCAGGAATCTATCAATTTGTTTCCCATGGGTATGGAACATGTTAACTTCGAGCATTTCTGTAAAGTCTAAGAGCATGTCGGTGTGACATGGGGAGTGACTTCCAGCACCTTGGCCACTATTATAAATGCTCCCTGTTATGACAGGCTTCACAGATGGGTCTGAAGGCAAATTTGGCAATGAAATCGCTCTTACTCTTGTTGCCAAGAGACTACAGGGGCAGAGAGGTGCATGTTGTGGTTCCTGAACATGGTGATTGGTGTAGCAGCACTTGATCAATGTTTGTTGAGTTATAATTAAATAAAAACTAATTTCTAATTTCTCAGTTGGGAGGTTAAGGTCCTAAAGCCTTCAGCTTCTCAAACCAGTCAGCACAGGGCTCAGCGTGAGCACACACAAGGGTGTGGTCACCTCCACCTGGTTCAGAAGTGTCTTCACAAGGGAAGTGAAGCCTGAATGAGTCCTGAAAGAAGGTGGGAGGGCAGCAGATGGCCTCTAGGAAAGGGCATCTTGGACAGAGGAATTACCCTTTGCTTAAAGGAGAAAGGAAAGGTTTCTCAGTAAGTACAAAACCAGCTTGATAAGAGAATGTTTCCCCAGCCATCTCTTAGAATAATATTTGTTAGTAAATCTGGAATGTCTTATCAATGTTGCCAATCTGGCTCCATGATTAGAGACAAAACCCTCTTAAGAAAATAAAATGCTCTCTGTGCAAGAAGTGCATGAGAGCCCCAGGCAACCTGGGATATGGGAAAGGATTTGTACAGAGGAGTCTGGAGTGGTCTGCTCACCTTCCCTTCCACAGAAAGGAACCCCTTTACCAAGGGCTTCAAACCTTTCCTCTGTCCCATAGGGAATCTGGTGGATTTGGAAGTTTATCCAAGAAACAGGGGTTTCCTACTATCCTAAAATACTTGAGGCTTTGGAAAAACCCCTGCCACGTATTTATTTTGCTCCTGTTATAAGCTTGTTTATTGAAGAACATATTATACTCAGGTTTTCATTGCTGAAAGTGTTAAACTCTCTCTAATATTCCTTTTACTGCCCAGATAGGACCTGCCAAACATTCCTAGTAGGACCCAAGTCAGAACCTCTGTTTCTTAGGCATTATCTATCTCCGTCGCAAAATTTAGTGCAGTAGTTGTAAAAATGAGGTGGGAGAATGTTTTTTCAGAGCATGTGATGATCCCTTAAAAGGAGTAGATGGGGTGCATTCAAAGATTTGGAAGGAAAGAAGGAGCATGTTTACAATGCTTTAGAAAATAATTAATTTTGGGGGAAAATACTTTACTGGTTCAATATCCCTGAAAAGGCTGAATTCAAATCAATTCCACAAACATTTACTGAGTACCCACTCACCCTGGGGACACAAAGATCAATTATTTTAGTCTCAGATGTGCTCATTCTAACTGCTTAAGCACCTCCATTGTCTGCAGATTCTTTAATTTATTTTGGTTGTATTAGCTAATTAATTAGGTGACTTTAGGCACATGGGTATTTTCTCATTACGAAAATGGGTGCTATCTGATGAATGATGATCATTAACAAAATGACTTGTGTTTAAGTGATTTTTTTAAGTAGCTACTCAAGGACAGTTCTCCATAAATAAAAAGGGACAAAATAAAGATACTGTTTTCTATGGTAGAATACATTTTTAAGCCACATATAGGGAAAGGCTTATTATCTCTTGGACTCAAGTTTGGCCATCAACACCCTTGAAAATATTAGAACTTTATGGATAACCCAGATGCTCTGAAAAGCCTGTTTCTCAGCAAATACAGGAACCATGATCAAAATGCATGGAATCACTAGTATTTTGACCCTGGCATGGTTTAGATCTATTTGGCAGAACAAAATTCCTAAATTTTTTTTGACTAAGGTACAGTAGGATGTGAAAAGGTACACTTTCACACCCTGAAAAGTGTCCAGTTCAGTTCAGTAGCAAGGCAGGCCAGAGCCCTTGGCTTCATTTCAATCTAAGCTACGTCACTCCAGAGGAAATTCCACCTCTGTGCTTGTCAACAACCCTCTGGATTATAAAAGTTCAACTAGCTCACTGTTCACAAGGCACGCCTGTTGCCAAAATTCTCTTGCAAGGTGTTTTCCCAAGTCCTTTCCCAATCATGTTTTCATGATTGTGACACTGGGGATTAAATCTTCAGGACAGATCTGTGTATGCACCTAACAAAACACATAGAGAAGTCACTTTCCTCAAGACTTCTTGCTCCCCTAAGGCCCAGAGTCCTGGAAGTGTTCAACCATTTGTAGAAGAAAATTTTTAAAGGATGCACCACTATCCTGGATGTTTAGAGCTACTGCATCATATTGGCAACTGGGCCTGGGAAGAATTCAGTAGACTGTGAACCCCTCAATCTTCTTGCTCCAACAGTGATAAAGTGAGGGTCAGAGTAGTCACATATATGACCTGCACCACTGTGAGAACCATATTTACAACTTCCCAAGCTTTGTGACTCATTTGCACCACTCCCTCATCCCTCCCATCACCTTATTTTAAGAAAAAAGTACCATACCAGCCCAGACAGAAGTTACTTGTTCAGGACCACACATTGAGTTAATGGCAGATCTAGAGCTAGGACACTAGCTTCCTGTATCAGAGTCCTAGGCTCACTCAGTCACCATCTGCTCTTAGCAAATAGCATTTATTTTAATAACTGGAAGAAAAATGGGAGGAAGACATGAGAAATGTCAACTATCTATAGGGTGATATAGAAAGGGGGAGATTTCTTCTATGTCTCCCTAGAGAAAGAGCTAGGGCTAATGAGTTGCGGTTACAGAGTCACCATTTCTGGCTCGATGTCCCAAAGAACTTTCTATCCAAAAATATAACTCCCCAGATAGTGATTTCTCAGGCCCTGGAGACAGTCAGGCAAAGGGCTAATCTCAAGGCTTTTGCAGAAGCCATTCCTAGATTGATGTAAGAGGAAAGATTGAATGATTATGTGGCCATTTTTTAACTGACTTCCACGTGATCTATTTGATCGTTAAGAACCTGGTAGGCCTCATCAAGTGTTCAGGGCTTCTAGCCTAGAAGTGGCTGCTGTTTTCCACTTGTTAAGAGAGTGTCCAACACAAGTGACTCTGAGACCTTGACCAAGGGGGATTGTCATGGAATTCTAGAGCTGATGGGCCTACAGAGCTTGTCTATTCCAAGTTACATCATTTTAAGGATGAAGGAACCCCGGCTCAGAAAGCTGACATAAATGGCCCAATCCCAGACAGCAGCTAGTAGCTGTGTGAGACAAGAATTCACATCTCCTGACACCCAGCCTGGAAATCCTTCCATTTCATCCATGACTCAGTGATTTTTTGAGCACCTGTCATAGGACAGCACTTACCTGGTGCTGGAGAGCCAAGGCAAGAGAGAATATGATGTAAGTCCCACTCTTACGTAACATGCATTCAGGAGGAAGGAGACACACAATGTTGAGTAAATAAAGTAGCTGAGCTTAATCAGATGACTTTATTTGTAAAGTCATTAAAATATGTAACTTTCCCCTCTTTTGTTTCAGGGGTGAACAGATTAAACAAATGTAAGCTTTTATGTGATTTTAGTGATAAGCCCCATGTGCTTTTACTGATCTTATGTTTTATGTTAAAACATCACAAACCCAAGATAAGCTGCATATTGTATGTTGTTGGATATATACTTAACTGATATGCATCCCCTGTCTTCCAGCACTACTGTATGAATTCTAATCACTGTGAATGAAATGTTGTATGTGTTAATGTATTTAACAGATGTAACTTAATAAACTGGCATTGAAAGCCACAGAATTTTAATAAATAGAACAATTCTTTTGTTAATTTATCTTTCTTTCTAGATTAAGGTCTAAGGATAACTTCTTGGGATTTTAAAATGCATCTAGTTCTCCATGTGTTTGAATGCAAAATGGTGACTGATTTTCACAGGTTATAATAAGTCTTATAAGAAATTGACTGTGCAACCCCACAGGTTGTGCTACTCTGATCACACAAGGGAAAAGAAGAAAAGGAGGGAGTCAACTGAGTTCCTTTTATGAAGTTGGAGATTCTGTGGTTAAATGGCTTGAACTCACACCAAACAACCCTAAAAAAGAGAAAGAAAGGCCAGAGAGAGCCATGTTAGTACTTGATGGAACCAGATTTGAACCCAGGTCTCTCGGACACCACACATGCTGCCTCTCATGAAAACAGCAACTGGCAAGAATCAAAAGGGTTCAACTCATCCATCTCTTTCCACTTTATAGAGCAGTAGCTGGAGTCACCATTGATGCTCAGCCAGTATTAGGGTGGGACCACAATAAATTGCCATTTCTGTGGGTCAAAAATGGCCACATTGAAGTTTCATTTGTTTTCAGCCAAGAGTTGTAAGTAAAATGAGTCATGGATTAAGAGAGAAGAAGATAAGGCTCTCCTCCAAAGCCTCAGTCTCAAAACTTTCCCTCCCAGTGGGAAACCTAAGCATGTCGTGATGTCCTTCTGAAATACAGTCCTCACATTTAGCCTGTACCCACTCCCAGGAGTGGTAAAAACGAAACATGCTTTATACTTCTGGAGAAAAATTAATTATTTGCCCAGAATTTATTCACAGAAAAATGTCTACAAAAATCATAATGCCAGTTCTCCAGATGAAAAATACTATTCACCTAATCCAGTTCACCAAGCACAACATTTTCAATCAATTCTCAAAAGGACTCTTCATCCCTAGGAACTTCAGAGCAAGGAGATAAAACTAACCAAGTATTAGATATTTTGACTACCATCCCTGTTAACATCGCTTCCACTCATCCACACATCCACAACAAAATAATAATGATAATGATGATGATGATGATGATGATGATGATGATGCTGATGCTTCAGGGTGGGATTGTAGAAAACACAGTGGATCAGAGTCAACAGACCTTTGTTCCAGGCTCAGGTCTGCCAACTGGCAAATTCTGAGTCCTTGGGCCAACCACTTCGTTTCTATGAATCTCAGAGTCCTCCTGTGAGGACCATGAGTAGAGGTGGATAAAATGAGCCAAAGCCCCTTCCATCTGAAGCTTAGATACAAGTCTTAATAATTTTATGCTTGTATTGCTTGACTTTCAAATGAGCTTCCCTTTATCCAGTGTGCACAGGGAGAGAAGAGAGTTTCTCCAAGAGAAAGCAGAATTCCCCGTGTACCTTATGCTACGAAGCTCTCCACCTCGCACATGGGGAATTTTCACCCCTTCGGCACAGGAAATGGAAAGATCGCTGGAACTGAGAAGTAAACTCTAGGGTCAGTGGATGCTGCTCCATCCTGACAGCACTCTTCATGCCCCTCCACTCTCTCTATGCCTCTGACGTCCCCCTGGGCTTGACAGCCCACTCACCATTCCACATAACCAGGGATGGCCCCTCACAGGCTGATGTTGGAGTTCAACACCAGTGCTCAGAGAAGACATTTCCTGTGTTCTTACCTTGTGTCAGGCATTGAACTCAATCTTCATACAGTGCGTCTTATTTTCCAATGTGATGACATTGCACTACTACCCCATTTTACAGATGAGGGAGATGCAGCATAAAAGATTAAGTTTACTCGCCCAAAATTATTCAGCTAAGCCAAGATTCAAACTCCTGGGCAGGAAAAAAGTAGCCAGCTCTCAAAGTTTATCATCAGCAATAAATAACAATCACTGACGTTTACTGGGCACTTAGAGTGCTGAGCACTTCACCTGCGTCATCTCATTTAATCCTCAATCAGAGGCTGAGTTCCAAGCCTCAGATCTGTAAAACACATCTGCTTCCACAGAGATTGGCATTCCCAGGAATGAACCTCCAAATCCTCCAAAGATGACCAGGTCTTCCATTCCATGCAATAACCATTGACTGAACAATCACTCGAACCAGAGGAGGGCTCTAAGGACACCATCCTTTCCTGAATGCCACGTCCCCCTTGTCCTGGCACCTAGAATAAGAACACTGGCACCGCCACTATCTTGTTAGCCCAACCTTATCCCAGCTGGGATGCCCTAACTCTGGCCACACTAAGACCTCTCACCAGCTCCAGCTCCCAAGCACAGGATCCCTGATTTCTTTCTCCGCTGGCCCCAGGATCCTTACCAATATCACCACCCATCTAGGGTGACCTCTGGAGGCCCATTTTGCCTTTGTCTTGATTTTCCATTCTGTTTTGTCAGCCACCAAAAGATCTGAGTACCTACTCTGGGCCAAGCACTTCGCTAAGCATGTTGCAAACACAGTTTCCTTTTAGCATCACAGAATCCTGAAGAGTAGGTACTATTATCTTTATGGCTAGTTTGCAGATGAGGAATCTGAGGCTCAGAGAATCACAGTGACTTTCTCAAAGCCACACAGCCAAAATGAGCTGCCCCTGAGCAAAGCGTTCTGACTGGCTCTACATTTATCTCATGCTTTTCAAGAGCAATGGTTCTCAATTTTGACTATACATTGGCAGGAGTAGGGGATAGTTAGAGTTTAAAAAAAAAAAAACCAGGCCATATCGCAGACTAATTAAAGCAAAATCTCCAATAATAGAAGACAGGCAACTGTAATTTTTTTAACTCCCAGGTAATTCCAATGTGCAGCCAGAGTGGAGAACCAGAATTTTCGAAGCGCTGGCGTTTGAAGCAAAGAGCAAGGCCCTAAAGCAGGACAGATCTGTGTTACGTTCTCAGCCCCACCATGCTCCAGCTGTGAGACCTTAGACACCTGAGTTAGTCTAGCTGAGCCTCACTTTCCTCATCAGCAAAACAAGAATGACGGCAGTGTGTGCCTCATGGTGCCCTTGTGAAGACAAAACGAGATAATGCCCATGAAGGTGCATGGCCTCTGCTTCAGGCTCAATAGATGGCACTTGTCACTTCGTCAGAAAATGAGTTGGAAATTCTGTTCTCTGTATTTCTTTGCTTCCACATTTAAGGAAGCAAAACCAAATCATGACAATTATAAAATCATAATGAAATGGGTAGGGTAAATGATGAACGGGATATTTGGCTATTCATTCACTCAACTGATATTTAATAAGCACCCTCAATGTGTTCAGCTCCTACCGGGGGGCGTGAGCAAAGCCAACATGGCAACTGAGCTCACCAAGATTCCAATGCTATTGAGTAGAAATTGTGAATGGGGGAGGAGGGTACAATAAAGGAATCAAAAATATGACACATTTTTATTATGTTGAGATATGTTCCCTCTATACCCACTTTGGCGAGAGTTTTTATCATAAATGGGTGTTGAATTTTATCAAATGCTTTTTCTGCATCGATTGAGATGATCATGTGGTTTTTGTCCTTTCTCTTGTTGATGTGATGTATTACATTGATTGATTTGCATATGTTGAACCAGCCTTGTGTCCCTGGGATGAACCCCACTTGGTCATAATGTATAATCTTTTTAATGTGTTGTTGGATTCTATTTGCTAAAATTTTGGTGAGGATTTTGGCATCTATGTTCATCAGTGATACTGGCCTATAATTCTCTTTTTTTGTAGTGTCTTTGCCTGGTTTTGGTATCAGGGTGATGGTGGTTTCATAGAATGAGTTTGGGAGTATTCCCTCCTTTTCAATCATCTGGAAGAGTTTGAGAAGGACTGGTATGAGTTCTTCTTTGTACGTTTGGTAGAATTCCCCGATGAAGCCATCCGGTCCTGGACTTTTATTTGCAGGGAAGTTTTTAATTGCTATTTCTATTTCCTTTCTAGTGATCGGATTGTTCAAGTGTTCAGTTTCTTCTTGATTCAGTTTTGGTGGACAGTATGTTTCCAGAAACTTGTCCATCTCCTCTAGGTTATCCAGTTTGGTTTCATATAGTTTTTCATAATATTATTGTATGATATTCTGTATTTCTATTTTGTTTGTTGTAATTTCTCCTCAAAAGACTAGGAATAGACTTACCACATGACCCAGGAATCCCACTCCTGGGCTTGTATACAGAAGGAACCCTACTTCAGGATGACACCTACACCCCAGTGTTCATAGCAGCACTATTTACAATAGCCAAAACATGGAAACAGCCTAAATGTCCATCAACAGGTGACTGGATAAAGAAGAGGTGGTATATTTAGACAATGGAATACTACTCAGCCATAAAAACCGACAA